CCAGGTACAGCAGTACCTGGTACAGCAAAACCTGGTACAGCAATTCCAGGTACAACAGCACTTAGTACAGCAGTACCTGGTACAGCAGCACTTGGTACAGCAGTACCTGGTATAGCAGCACCTGGTACAGCAGCACCTGGTGCAGTATTACCTGGTACAGCAGTACCTGGTACAGCAGCACCTGGTACAGCCGTACCTGGTACAGGAGCACCTGGTACAGCAGTACCTAGTGCAGCAGCATCTGGTAGAGCAGTACTTGGTATAGCAGTACCTGGTACAGCAGTACTTGCTATAGCGGCACCTAGAATGGCAGTACCAGGTATAGTAGCAATTTGTACAACAGTACCTGGTACAGCAGCACCTGGTACAGCAGCACCTGGTACAGCAGTACTTGGTATAGCAGTACCTGGTACAGTAGTACTTGCTATAGCGGCACCTGGTATAGCAGCACCAGGTATAGTAGCAATTGGTACAGCAGTACCTGATGCAGCAGCACCTGGTACAGTAGTACTTGTATAGCAGTAACTGGTACAGCAGCACCTGGTACAGCAGCACCTGGTACAGCAGTATTTGGTATAGCAGTAACTGGTACAGCAGTATCTGGTACAGCAGTACTTGGTATAACAGCACCTGATACAGCAACACCTGGTACAGCAGTACTTGGTATAGCAGCAACTGGTGCAGCAGTACCTGGTACAGCAGTATTTGGTATAGCAGCACCTGGAACAGCAGCACCTGGTACAGCCGTACCTGGCACAGCAGCACCTGGTATAGCAGTTCCTGGTACAGCGGCAACTGGTACATCAGTACCTGGTAAAGCAGCACCTGGTACAGCAGCAACTGGTGCAGCAGTACTTGGTATAGTAGTACCTGGTACAGCAGTACTTGGTATAGCAGCACCTGGTACAGCAGTACGTTTTATAGTAGCAATTAGTACAGCAGTACCTGGTGTGTTAGTACAGTACCTGGTGTGTTAGTACAGTACTTGGTGTGTTAGTACAGTACCTGGTGTGTTAGTACAGTACCTGGTGTGCTAGTACAGTACCTGGTGTGTTAGTACAATACCTGGTGTGTTAGTACAGTACCTGGTGTGTTAGTACAGTACCTGGTGTGTTAGTACAGTACCTGGTGTGCTAGTACAGTAACTGGTGTGTTAGTACAGTACCTGGTGTGCTAGTACAGTAACTGGTGTGTTAGTACAGTACCTGGTGTGTTAGTACAGTACCTGTGTATAGTACAGTACCTGGTGTGCTAGTACAGTAACTGGTGTGTTAGTACAATACCTGGTGTGTTAGTACAGTACCTGGTGTGTTAGTACAGTACCTGGTGTGCTAGTACAGTACCTGGTGTGTTAGTACAATACCTGGTGTGTTGTACAGTAACCTGGTGTGTTAGTACAGTACCTGGTGTGCTAGTACAGTACCTGGTGTGTTAGTACAATACCTGGTGTGTTAGTACAGTACCTGGTGTGTTAGTACAGTACCTGGTGTGTTAGTACAGTACCTGGTGTGTTAGTACAGTAACTGGTGTGTTAGTACAGTACCTGGTGTGTTAGTACAGTACCTGGTGTGTTAGTACAGTACCTGGTGTGTTTAGTACAGTATCCGGTGTGTTAGTACAGTACCTGGTGTGTTAGTACAGTACCTGGTGGTTAGTACAGTAACCGGTGTGTTAGTACAGTACCTGTGTGTTAGTACAGTACCTGGTGTGCTATGTACAGTACCTGGTGTGTTAGTACAGTACCTGGTGTGTTAGTACAGTACCTGGTGTGTTAGTACAGTACCTGGTGTGTTAGTACAGTACCTGGTGTGTTAGTACAGTAACTGGTGTGTTAGTACAGTACCTGGTGTGTTAGTACAGTACCTGGTGTGTTAGCACAGTACCTGGTGTGTTAGTACAGTACCTGGAGTGTTAGTACAGTACCTGGTGTGTTAGTACAGTACCTGGTGTGTTAGTACAGTACCTGGTGTGTTAGTACAGTACCTGGTGTGTTAGTACAGTACCTGGTGTGTTAGTACAGTACCTGGTGTGTTAGTACAGTACCTGGTGTGTTAGTACAGTACCTGGTGTGTTAGTACAGTACCTGGTGTGTTAGTACAGTACCTGGTGTGCTAGTACAGTACCTGGTGTGTTAGTACAATACCTGGTGTGTTAGTACAGTACCTGGTGTGTTAGTACAGTACCTGGTGTGTTAGTACAGTACCTGGTGTGTTAGTACAGTACCTGGTGTGTTAGTACAGTACCTGGTGTGTTAGTACAGTACCTGGTGTGTTAGTACAGTACCTGGTGTGTTAGTACAGTAACTGGTGTGTTAGTACAGTACCTGGTGTGTTAGTACAGTACCTGGTGTGTTAGTACAGTACCTGGTGTGTTAGTACAGTACCTGGTGTGTTAGTACAGTACCTGGTGTGTTAGTACAGTACCTGGTGTGTTAGTACAGTACCTGGTATACTAGTGCGGTACCTGGTGTGTTAGTACAGTACCTGGTGTGTTAGTACAGTACCTGGTGTGTTAGTACAGTACCTGGTGTGTTAGTACAGTACCTGGTGCGTTAGTACAGTACTTGGTGTGTTAGTACAGTACCTGGTGTGTTAGTACAGTACCTGGTGTGTTAGTACAGTACCTGTTGTGTTAGTTCAGTACCTGGTGTGTTAGTACAGTACCTGGTGTGTTAGTACAGTACCTGGTGTGTTAGTACAGTACCTGGTGTGTTAGTACAGTACCTGGTGTGTTAGTACAGTACCTGGTGTGTTAGTACCGTACCTGGTGTGTTAGTACAGTACTTGGTGTGTTAGCACAGTACCTGGTGTCTTAGTACAGTACCTGGTGTGCTAGTACAGTACCTGGTGTGTTAGTACAGTACCTGTTGTGTTAGTTCAGTACCTGGTGTGTTAGTACAGTACCTGGAGTGTTAGTACAGTACCTGGTGTGTTAGTACAGTACCTGGTCTGTTAGCAGAGTACCTGGTGTGTTAGTACAGTACCTGGTGTGTTAGCACAGTACCTGGTGTGTTAGTACAGTACTTGGTGTGTTAGTACAGTACCTGGTGTGTTAGTACATTACCTGGTGTGTTAGTACAGTACCTGGAGTGTTAGTACAGTACCTGGTGTGTTAGTACAGTACCTGGAGTGTTAGTACAGTACCTGGTGTGTTAGTAGAGTACCTGGTGTGTTAGTAGAGTACCTGGTGTGTTAGTACAGTACCTGGTGTGTTAGCACAGTACCTGGTGTGTTAGTACAGTACTTGGTGTGTTAGCACAGTACCTGGTGTGTTAGTACAGTAATTGGAGTGTTAGTACAGTACCTGGTGTGTTAGTACAGTACCTGGTGTGTTAGCACAGTACCTGATGTGTTAGTACAGTACCTGGTGTGTTAGCACAGTACCTGGTGTGTTAGTACAGTACTTGGTGTGTTAGTACAGTACCTGGTGTGTTAGCACAGTACCTGGTGTGTTAGTACAGTACTTGGTGTGTTAGTACAGTACCTGGTGTGTTAGTACAGTACCTGGTGTGTTAGTATAGTACCTGGTGTGTTAGTACAGTACCTGGAGTGTTAGCACAGTACCTGGTGTGTTAGTACAGTACCTGGAGTGTTAGTACAGTACCTGGTGTGTTAGCACAGTACCTGGTGTGTTAGTACAGTACCTGGTGTGCTAGTACAGTACCTGGTGTGTTAGTACAGTACCTGGTGTGTTAGTACAGAACCTAGTGTGTTAGCAGAGTACCTGGTGTGTTATTACAGTACCTGGTGTGTTAGCACAGTACCTGGTGTGTTAGTACAGTACTTGGTGTGTTAGTACAGTACCTGGTGTGTTAGTACAGTAACTGGTGTGTTAGTACAGTACTTGGTGTGTTAGTACAGTACCTGGTGTGTTAGTACAGTACCTGGTGTGTTAGTACAGTACCTGGAGTGTTAGTACAGTACCTGGTGTGTTAGTACAGTACCTGGTGTGTTAGTACAGTACCTGGTGTGTTAGTACAGTACCTGGTGTGTTAGCACAGTACCTGGCGTGTTAGCACAGTACCTGGTGTGTTAGTACAGTACTTGGTGTGTTAGTACAGTACCTGGTGTGTTAGTACAGTACTGGTGTGTTAGTACAGTACCTGGTGTGTTAGTACAGTACCTGTGTGTTAGTACAGTACCTGGTTGTTAGTACAGTACCTGGTGTGTTAGTACAGTATCTGGTGTGTTAGTACAGTACCTGGTGTGTTAGCACAGTGCCTGGTGTGTTAGTACAGTACCTGGTGTGTTAGCACAGTACCTGGTGTGTTAGTACAGTACCTGGTGTGTTAGTACAGTACCTGGTGTGTTAGTACAGTAATTGGTGTGTTAGTACAGTACCTGGTGTGTTAGTACAGTACCTGGTGTGTTAGTACAGTACCTGGTGTGTTAGTACAGTACTTGGTGTGTTAGAACAGTACCTGGTGTATTGGTACAGTATCTGGTGTGTTTGTACAGTACCTGGTATACTAGTACGGTACCTGGTTTATGAGTACAGTACCTGGTATACTAGTACAGTACTGGGTGTGTTAGTACAGTACCTGGTGTGTTAGTACAGTATCTGGTTTGTTAGTACAGTACCTGGTTTACTAGTACGGTACCTGCTTTATGAGTACAGTACCTGGTATACTAGTACAGTACTTGGTGTGTTAGAACTGTACCTGGTGTATTGGTACAGTATCTGGTGTGTTTGTACAGTACGTGGTATACTAGTACGGTACCTGGTTTGTGAGTACAGTACCTGGTATACTAGTACAGTACTGGGTGTGTTAGTACAGTACCTGGTGTGTTAGTACAGTATCTGGTTTGTTAGTACAGTACCTGTTGTGTTAGTACAGTACCTGTTGTGTTAGTACAATACCTGTTGTGTTAGTATAGTACCTGTTGTGTTAGTACAGTACCTGTTGTGTTAGTACAATACCTGTTGTGTTAGTACAGTACCTGTTGTGTTAGTTCAGTTCTTGGTATACTAGTACAGTACCTGGTGTATGAGTACAGTACCTGGTGAAGGGATGTCTGACAACAAGGGCACGAAGACTGTTCTTGAAGACCTGAGTCCTGACCTGCGGGTCCTCAGGTCCTGGGTATAACTCGTACACTTTATCCTGTTTCGCTCCATACTTGGGCTGTAAGAGGGGGGTTCTTGATCTTTATTTGCTTTTGCAAGGTTAATTTAGGTTAGGTTAGGTTAGCTAGGTTAGGTTAGGTTAGGTTAGGTTAGGTAGGTTAGGTTAGGTTAGGTTAGGTAGGTTAGGTTAGGTTAGCTAGGTTAGGTTAAGTTAGGTAAGGTTAGGTTAGGTATGGCAAGGTTAGGTTAGCTAGATTATGTTAGGTTAGTTAGGGTAGGCTAGGTTAGGTTAGGTTAGGTTAGGTTATGTTATGTTAGGTTAGGTTAAGTTATCTAAGCTAGGTTAGGTTAGGTTAGTTTAACTACGTTAGGTTAGGTTAGGTTAGGTTTGGGTTAGTTAGGTTAGGTTAGGTTAGGTTAGCTAGGTTAGGTTAGGTTAGGTTAGGCTAGGTGAGGTTACGTTAGGTTAGGTTAGGTTAGGTTAGGTTTAGGATAGGTCAGGTTAGGTTAGGTCATTTTAGGTTAGGTTAGGTTAGGTCTGCTTAGGATAGGTTAGGATATTTTAGGTTACGTCAGGTTAGGTTAGGTTAGGTTAGGTCAGGTTAGGTTAGGTTAGGTTAGGTTAGGTTAGGTTAGGTTAGGTTAGGTTAGGTTAGGTCAGGTTAGGTTAGGTTAGGTTAAGCTAGTTTAGGTTAGGTTATGTTAGGTTAGGTCAGGTCAGGTTAGGTTAGGTTAAGTTTTGTTAGGTTAGATTAGGTTAGGTTAGGTCAGGTCAGGTTACGTTAGGTTAGGTCAGGTTAGGTTAGGTCAGGTTACGTTAGGTTAGGTTAGGTTAGGTTAGGTCAGGTTAGGTTAGGTCAGGTTACGTTAGGTTAGGTTAGGTTAGGTTAGGTCAGGTTACGTTAGGTCAGGTTAGGTTAGGTTAGGTTAGGTCAGGTTAGGTCAGGTTACGTTAGGTCAGGTTAGGTTAGGTTAGGTTAGGTTAGGTCAGGTTACGTTAGGTTAGGTTAGGTTAGGTTAGGTTAGGTTAGGTCAGGTTACGTTAGGTCAGGTTACGTTAGGTTAGGTTAGGTTAGGTTAGGTCAGGTTACGTTAGGTCAGGTTAGGTTAGGTTAGGTTAGGTCAGGTCAGGTTACGTTAGGTTAGGTCAGGTTAGGTTAGGTCAGGTTACGTTAGGTTAGGTTAGGTTAGGTTAGGTCAGGTTACGTTAGGTCAGGTTAGGTTAGGTTAGGTTAGGTTAGGTTAGGTTTAAAAGACAATATTCAAAATAAAGTTGCTAGTAAAAGCAAATCAATTGATCAACAAACAAAGAGAGATAGTAGAGAGCAACGAGTGACTAGCTCCCTTAAGGTTCACTATACAAATAGTAGGAGTCTAAGGAAGAAGATAGATGAGCTAAAATTACTTGCAAGTGCAGGTAATATAGATATTATTGTTATAACAGAGACCTGGTTCAACCTGAAAGATAGAGAAATGCCTTCTGAATGCAACATACAGGGTTATAAACTATTCCACACTGATAGGGTCAACAGGAAGTGAGGTGGTGTGGCGATGTATGTCAGAGAAAATTTAAATTGTTGTCTTAGACATGATATAAGATTAGAAACATCGAACACAGAATCTGTTTGGCTAAAGTTTCTCGAGGGTGGTGACAAATTAATTTTGGGTGTGATTTATAGGCCCTCAAACCTTGATAGGGAGTGTAGTAAGCTGTTATGGGACGAAACTCATAAGGCATCTAGATATGAAAATGTGATAATGGGAGATTTTAACTTTAGACAAATTGGAACAATATGACAGGAAATATTGAGTCTAGTGACTTTCTTGATACGGTTCAGGATTGCTTCTTAGAACAGTTTGTGACAGAACCAACTAGGGGAAACAATCTGCTTGACTTGCCAACAAAGATTCACTAATTAATAATCTTGAGGTTAATGATGAGCTTGGGGAAAGTGATCACAAATCACTTAGTTTCAATATATCATGCAATTACCAAGATAACTGCAATCAAATCTCTGTCCCAGATTTTCGCTTGGCCGACTTCATGGGACTGAAAAATTACCTGGGTGGGCTAAATTGGGATGTCCTGAGTATGGGTCAGGTAGGTGATCTTGGTTGCCAATATGACGTTTTTCAGAGCATAGTTCTAGCTGCCCAGACAACTTTTGTTCCGAGCAGGAAAATTAGATCTAACAAGAATGATCCCAAATGGATGAACAATAGATTGAAACATCTCATTGGTCAAAAGAGAGGCATATATAGGCGTATCAAATGAGGGGATGAGCAGTTAAGAAATCAATATATTCAATTAAAGAGAGAAATAAAGAAAGGAATAAGAAAAGCAAAAAGAGATTATGAGGCTAAGGTCGCCAGGGATTCAAAGACTAACCCAAAAAGGTTCTTTCAGGTACAGAACTAAGATTAGGGACAAGATTGGCCCACTTAAGAGTAACTCTGGTCAGATCACTGATAGTGATAAGGATATGTGTAAAATTCTCAATACCTACTTCCTCTCAGTTTTTACCAGGAAAATACTAGTGATATTCCTGAAATAATAGATTATGTTGAACAGGACGATAATAAATTATGCACGATTGCGGTAACTAGAGACATGGACCTCAGACAAACAGAGAAACTAAAACCTAAGAAATCCCTAGGCCCTGATGAACTGTTTGCAAAGGTGTTAAAGGAATATAAAGAGGATCTTAGCACACCTTTGGCTAATCTTTTTAACATATCACTACAAACTGGCATAGTACCTGATAAGTGGAAAATGGCAAATGTAATACGTATTTACAAGGCAGGTGACAGGTCCCTAGCTTCGAACTATAGACCAATAAACCTTACATCCATAGTGGAAAAATTTATGGAATCAATAATTGCCGAAGCAATTCATAGCCATCTTGACAGGCACAGATTGATTAATGAATCTCAACACGGTTTTACAAAAAAGTGTTCTTGTCTTACGAATTTACTAACATTTTTCACTAAGGTGTTTGAGGAGGTAGATCATGGTAATGAATATGATATTGTGTATATGGACTTCAGTAAGGCTTTCGATAGAGTTCCACATCAGAGGCTATTGAGGAAACTTAAGGCACACGGAATAGGAGGAGAAATTTTTTCCTGGGTAGAGGCATGGCTGACAAATAGACAGCAGAGAGTTTGCATAAATGGGGAGAAAACAGAATGGGGGCACGTCACAAGCGGTGTTCCTCAAGGGTCAGTGTTGGGCCAGTTGTTGTTCACAATTTACATAAACGACATAGATTAAGGAATAAATAGTGACATAAGCAAATTTGCTGATGACACCAAAATAGGCCGTCCAATTCATTCTAATGAGGACACTAGAGCACTCCAGGATGATTTGAATAGACTGATACAATGATCGGAGAAGTGACAGATGCAGTTTAATATAGACAAATGCAAAGTTCTAAATGTTGGACAGAAAATAACCATGCCACATATAAACTAAATAATGTAGATCTTAATACTACTGATTGCGAAAAGGTTTTAGGAGTTCTGGTTAGCAGTAATCTAAAACCAAGACAACAGTGCATTAGTGTTCGCAATAAACCTAACAGAATTCTTAGCTTCATATCTAGAAGTATAAATAATAGAAGTCCTCAGGTTGTTCTTCAACTCTATATATCTTTGGTTAGGCCTCATTTAAGTTATGCTTCTCAGTTCTGGTCACCGTATTACATAATGGATATAAATGCTCTGGAAAACGTACAAAGGAGGATGACAAAGTTGATCCCATGTATCAGAAATCTTCCCTATGAGGATAGTGTGGAGAAATTTTCTCCAGGAGGGTTATATCAGCCCCTTTCAGCCCTGAGAGGCCCAGCCTCTCAGATGGGGCAAGCGTCTTGTTTACTGCTACAGCAAGTAACTGATCCCAGATGCAGTACCATTATGCAACGTGTGGTCAGGCGACCGCCGCTCCGTGCAAGACTCCAGTGTCGCAAAGTGTATTTTAATAAGATAACAGTCCATTTCTTACCTTAGCAGGAACAATTAAGGAAAATCCATGCTCCCACTTTTTACTATAATAAAGATTAGTTGTACATTGTTTGTCATGCTAAGACGCAAGATCAGCATTATGCCTTTTGCTTCATGGAGGAAGTGACAAGGAAGCAAAAAGTATTAGGTCCAGCTTTTCCTTTGTGCTGGGGGGCAGTGACGGGGTGGGCGTTGTGGCGTCTCAGATTACTTTTGACTATACTACTGAGAGTGTGACACTGACTCCAGTATAATCAACAAAGAACTATCTGTGCGTAAAAGTGAGCACAAAGTGTCTCACAAAACACGATAAACACTTTACATAAAGTGTATCAACTTCTTATGATAATGTGTGAACAATTAATTGATGAACATTGTAACAACAAGTGTTGCGATCCCAACAGAGATGGTAGTGCGACATTCCTTCAAGAACACTATTCTTCATTCAAACTCAACGATATCGGGGTGCGTAAATTATGGGTCAGATACCTATACCCAGTTCTATTTTTGTAAGTGTTTCTTACTCGTGATGTACTACTCTTGCCTTGCGCAGATGATATAAAGTCGTGAGTTAGTCCACTTATTCATAACACCCCGGTGTATATTCGGACCTTAGATCCACACACGTAAGTTTGTCAGCATCATTGAAATGAAATAAGCTGTAACATAACACCCCCTTAGTAATTTATTGTTTTGACAGTAATATGATCTATTACAGCCTTGATTGAGAGATGATCATGACAACAATTCAAGACCTCGTCTGCAGGGGCACTGTGGTAGACAATTTGCTGTCTTTCACATCACTAGGGTTCCATATATTAAAAATATAAATTATATCTAAGCTGGTAAACCATTTTTTTCAACATTTTGGCGTCGTGCTCGAAACCGGATAAATGCCACACTGTGGTCCCAATACGTGTACTACAGTGTACAAATAACCTATTGAGCCAAGGTCTTCGAAAAAAAGGAAGCTGTAAAACTAGTGTTTTACAATATAATTCCCCAGTATAAATGAGTCCCTCCAGACTCATCACAGAGAATGGGCAAA